ATATATATATATATATATATATATATATATATATATATATATATATATTACTAAATGATCTTCCAAAAATTTTTCCTAGTAGTAACATTCAAAAAGTTTAAGCGTCATTGTTTATTAAAAAATTATTTACAAAAGTAATTTTATAAATGGAACGTAATTTTGGTACACAGTATACACGCAGTATACATAAATATGGTAAACAGTACATGTACATATATGCACGGGGGAGAGACTCTGCCCCGGATTGTTCCTCTCTGATGAAGCAGACTAAAATGTTCGCGAAACGTCGGAATCAGACAAAGAATTCATGCGGCTCTAACCCGAAAACCAACTCTAAAACGACGTTATCTTTGCAACTACAATTTTTCAACCCGTGCTTATTAGCATTTATAGTAGTTTTAAACTAATTCTGAATGAATATAAGTATTTCTAAGACAATTTACAATAAAAAAAAGTACATCAAATAGAAGATTTTTCAAGAATTATAACGAAAAAAGTAGGTTCCTACTATCTAAGCATGCGTAAAATAAGTATGTACTCCTAGGGTTAAGCAACAATGTGAATAATATTAAATAATTTTCTTCTTCGCTGTTAATTGTTTAATAATAAAATAATCTACTTACTTCGATATATGTACTGAGAATAATGATGGAGAAAGAAGAAAATTCTCGAAATATAACAATTTCGATTTCAAGTGAGTTTGCTCCTTGTAGATACGTAACAGTAATGATCTTAATTCGGAATCAGCTAATAGTAATATTATCCTTGGAGAGACACGTATCTTCTATTTACAACATTACGTACAACATTATATCTTATATTTGCGTACACTTTAACTATGTCTCTTCTATATTTGAAAAAAAGTAAATATGTGTAGAAATTTAAGAAGAAATGTATAAGAAAAGTGAAAAAAATAACGAGAATATCATTTATAGACATAATATAACGAAGATTATCTTGATAACTTTGAAAAAATATATTAACCAGAAAAATGTATTTAGGGAAAATTTTACATTAAAAAAAATTCGATGATTGTAAAATCAACTTGAGGACAACGATATCCTAGCAGCACATATTAGTTGACCAACACATAGTGTAAATATTATAATTCTAGAAGGACATAATTCTTTAAAAATCAAACGCGCCAATCAATTTCTCTAAAACTATGCATATAGTAGTTTTTGGAGTCACTGTTTCCAAATTTGGTACTGAAATTATTGTATCTCAGAATTTTAATATGACAAATTTAAGAGAAAAAGTTTTTCCAAAAAAGAGAGTTTGTATAAAATACTTATTTCGTATCGAAATAGTTTCGATGTTATAAATTTTAAATGTAATATTTTGGCAATAAATAAATAATACAGATAATAAACAGATAAATAATATATAAAATAAGCATTGAATAAATAATTGAAATAAATATCCATTTATTTAATTTTTTGCCATATAGTTATTTGTATTTCGTTTTCGGATTGGTATGAGTAAAATAATAAAATAAAATAAATCATAAATATAAATATAAATAATATATAAATATAAATAAAGTAATAAACAATTAAACCTACGCATGTAACCAGTAAATTAGAGCAGGGAAAATGTATAATAAGTGTATAATAAATGTATAATAAATGTATAATAAATGTATAAAATGTATAAAATAATAAATGTATAATAAATGTATAATTAATTAATAAATTATATAATAAAATAAATAATTAAACCTATGTAACTAGACCGAAGAAAGAAAATACTAAAATTATTTTTCCTTCATCTTATTTCAGTTTAAAAAAGTTCCTATGTTCAAGAGATACCATTTAAGATTAAAATTTTCTTCTTTGTCTCAATAGCAATTCAGTTGATTCAGAATAGAACCATAAATACATTTTTTGTTTTTTTTTATGACATATTACGTGTATAACATAATTTTATGTTAACAATAACATTTTAGTTGTAATATAAAGAAATACATAAAAGAATAAAAAAATTTTTTTAATTTAAAAAATTTAAAAATACATACAACCCACACAGAACGTAATATCGCAAAAATATCACAGCAATATTATATTTTTATTGCAATATTACCAGGGAATATAACAGAAATAATGCTGGAATATTACTAAGATATCACAGTAATATTAAAATGTCCGCGGCAAATGCATCACAGTAATATAATGGTGAAAATCACAATGATATTACTGTGAGAAAATCATAATATTTAAAAAAATATACTTATATATTCCTAGTTTTCTCATGTTTCATAAACTACTATGTATCAAAGGTTGTCAAATACACTTCATACTTTCGTGAAATCCTCCAGCGATAATTTCGATCCCAAGCAATATACTACTGGTCACCATCCATGTCCTGACCGCATTAAACTGTTGCTTAACCTGACGACCAAGTGCGCATGCGGTGATTCTGATGACTCCAACGATGTTCTTACAATTCATATTTATATAATGTATCCTTATAGTGTTCACAGTACATTTTAATATACTTAGCAAACATCAAATAATAGTTACATAATTTTTACTTAGTGTTTGTTGGATAATTTGCTGATAGATATTGAAACAATGCAACAACATTCGATATGCGATAAATATTGATGTAATGTAGTGAACCAGTGATAATTACTTTTAGATTTTTAACAAAATGTTATAATGATTA